AAAGTAAAAAAAATAGACTAAAAATTATGCATCCATAACAGTGGTTGATGCGAAAATGGGAGAAATACTAGTCACGTGCGAAAGAATCAAATGGACCATGAAGAAAGGTGAAAAGGCTTTATCTCCACAATACCGTGAATCCAGCATGTTGTTATTCTATAAAATTGCAAAAATTGAGTTCGAACCACTCGGAGTCGTTGCTGCTCTAGTTTCATGGAACTATCCGTATGTGTTTAATTAAATCCGTTTATGATCAAATAGAGCACACCATAGAGCACTGCCTGAATATCAAATACTTTCAACACGACACCATACTACCAAAAATCGCATAAAAATACTCCATACATTAAAAAATTTTATACACATTAGACAGTCTACACTAAACATTTTTTTAATTCCCTTTCTTACTATTCTTACTATTTCAATATAGCTTTCACAATATAATTGGGCCAATAATATCTGCTTTATTTGCAGGAAATGGAATTATAGTTAAATCTTCTGAGCAAGTAGCTTGGTCATTGCAGTACTACAGTGAAATCGTTAAGACTTGTTTAATATCATGCGGTCATGATCCGGATATAGTGCAGTTTCTATGTGGATTTGCAGATTGTGGTGAAGCTCTCGTTAAAAGCGGTGTTGATGGGATAACTCTTATTGGGTGAGACTCGGATGTTAATGAATTCGCATCAAATAATTGATTTATAACGACTCTTTTGTTAATTTTGTTATTATCCGCAGTTCTCCACAAGTAGGTAGACAGGTCATGTCATCATCATCTACTACATTAACACCCTGCACATTAGAACTAGGAGGAAAGGATTGTGCTATCCTTCGCCAAGATGTAAATTTAAGGCAAATAATTCCAATTATATTACGTGGCGTATTTCAGAACGCTGGACAGAACTGCATCGGACTTGAAAGAATTCTTGTTCATGAAAGTATTTATGATAAATTTGTGAAAATAATTGAACTAAGAGTTAGGGAACTTAGAGTTGGATGCGCTTTGAATGATGAAGAGGGTGTTGATGTTGGTGCACTGACCACGAGCGATCAGGTATATTTTGATCAATATTACTGAATGCAACTTTATACATGTCTATATCACGCCTAAAATATTTATATGTAGATTGACCGGTTCTCCGCCCTGATAAAATCTGCAGTTTCGCAAGGAGCCAAGCTACTCTATGGAGGTCATCCGTTCGTTCATCCCCTTTATCCAACCGCTCATTATTATACACCCACACTTCTCATAGACGTAACTCCCGATATGCCAATATCTCAAACTGAACACTTTGGGCCAATAATGGTAGTAATGAAATTCCGAACAGATGATGAAGCGATTGAAATTGCCAATTCTAGCGGTTATGGATTGGGAAATAGCGTGTTTACCAAAGACCAGCGAAAAGGTGAATGGATGGCAAGACGACTAAGAAGTGGAATGGTTAACATAAATGATTTTGGAGCTAGCTATATTTGTAATTTACCATTTGGTGGTGTTGGTATAAGCGGATTTGGGAGGTACTTATTTTTATTTTATTTGTATTTATTTATTTATTTATTTTTGTCATGAGAATTATAAGATTTATATGATTCCTTTTATATTTAAATATTTGTAGATTTGGGGGAATAGAAGGTCTTCGTCAGCAATGTTTAATGAAATCTATTACTCTAGATCGATTTCCATGGTTAATACAGACTTCTATTCCTAAAATGTTGGATTATCCTATACATTTTTGTGGATCCATGTTTGCTTCTAATTTGGTTAAAGCTGTTTATGAAAATAGATTATTGGACAAAGTTAAAGGCGTTATTAAATTGATAGTTAAGGAGAGAATTGATTATGAAGAAGTAGATAACGCAGATTAGAATTGCAAGGATTAGTTTATATCAGCTATTGGTCGGAGCTTGTCGCTGTTAGAAGTAAAACATATACTAATTGTTCCAAAACTGATAATCTATTATGCTATAATTAATAAAATTTAATGAAAAGTTCTAACCCTGTTTTTTTTTAATTACACAATTTTTTT